GCTTTACATTGAGGTCTTTGAGCCATTTGGAATTGACTTTTGTGCAGGGTGAAAGATAGGGGTTTAGTTTCATTCTTCTACAAGTGGACATCCAGTTTTGCCAGCACCATTTGCTGAACATGTTTTCTTTACTCCAGTTAATGTTCTTGGCCCCTTTGTCAAATATCAGGTGGCTGAAATTGCATGTACTCATATTTGGGTCTTCAATTTTGTTCCATTGGTCTGTGGGTCTATTTTTGTGCCAGCCATGCTGTTTTTATGACTTTAGCTCTATAACACAGCTTGAAATCTGGTATAGTAATCCCCTCAGCATTGCTCTTAGTGCTCAGGGTTGTTTTGGCTATCCGAGGTCTTTTGTGCTTCCATATGAATCTTAGGATAGTTTTTTCCAATTCTGTGAAAAATGTCATGGGGATAGTGATTGGCATTGCGTTGAATCTATATATGACTTTTGGTAGGATGGTCATTTTCACAATATTAATTCTTCCAATCCATGAGCATGGGAGGTCCTTCCATCTCTGATGTCTTCCTCAATTTCTTTCTTTAAAGCCTTAAAAATTTCATTGTAGAGCTCTTGAATTTCTTTGGTCAGGTTTACTCTGAGATATTTCATTTTGTGTGCAGCTATTATGAAGGGGAGTGTTTCCAATAATTTCTAGGAGTTTTGGGGTAGAATTTTTAGCATCCCTTACATATAATATCATATCATCTGCAAAAAGGGATAATTTGATCTCTGCTTTTCCAATTATTACTCCTTTAATTTCCTTCTCTTGTCTTATTGCTCCTGCAAGAGTTTTAAGTACTATGTTAAAGAGAAGTGGGGAGAGTGGGAAGCCTTGTCTGGTTCCTGATTTCAATGGGAATGCTTCAGTTTTTCTCCATTTAGAATGATGTTGGCTGGGGGGTTGTTATATATGGCTTTAATTATGTTGAAGTATGTTCCCTCCAGTCCAATTCTCTCTAGAACTTTAAACATAAAAGCACGTTGAATTTTGTCAAAGGCCTTCTCTGCATCTATTGAAATGAAAGTGGCCTTCTTTATCTCTACTGATTAGTTTTAGTTTAAAGTCTATTTTGTCCAATATTAGAATTGCTATGCATGCTTTTTTCTTAGTGCCATTTGCTTGGTATAT